GTAATGGAATATGTCTTTCAACTGTATATAATAATTCTATTACTCCAATGATATGGAAATGCCATCAAGGACATCAATGGCTGGCTCCCTTTCACAGGATTAAACATGCTAAAAAATGGTGTCTGCAGTGTGCTTCCAATCGCCATTGTTCAATTGAAGAGGCCAAACAAATTGCACATAATAGAAATGGTAAGTGTCTCTCTGAAAAATATATAAATAGTTATACACCACTTTCTTGGCAATGTGCTATGGGTCATAAATGGTCTACTTCTCTTGCTCATATAAAACATTATAATAGTTGGTGTCCAGATTGTGCACATAATAGACATCTTACTCTTGAAGAAGCTAAACAAATTGCACATAGCAGAAATGGTGAGTGTCTTTCTAAAATATTTGTAAATACTTGTTCACCTTTATTATGGATATGTGCTAAAGGACATTAATGGAGTGTTAGACTTGCAAGCATAAAACATAGTAATAGTTGGTGTCCATATTGTGCAGGCACAAAACGTCTTACTCTTGAAAAAGCTAAACAAATTGCACATAGCAGAAATGGTGAATGTCTTTCTGAGATATTTGTTAATACTCGTTCACCTTTATTATGGAAATGTGTTAAAGGACATGAATGGTATTCAACACTTAAAAGTATCAAAAATAATACCTGGTGCCCATTTTGTCAAAATAAGCGTGAAAAACTTTGTCGTGAAATTGTAACAAAATATCTTGGATCTCCATCAGAAAATCGCTGGCCTGATTTCTTAAGAACATTAGAGCATCCAAATGGATTGGAACTGGACATTCCCTATTATCATTATGGTTTTGCTATCGAAGTACAAGGAGAACAGCATGAAAAATATAACGAATTTTTTCATAAAGGAGATCCTAATAATTTTGTCCAGCAACAAAAGCAGGATCAACTCAAGAATGAATTGTGCAAAGAAAACTGGATTGTTTTAAGGTATGTCTGGTATTATGAAGACCCATATATAGTTATTCCAGAGCATCTTCGAGAATTGGGTCTCATTTAGTAAACTCA